TAGTCTTCTAGTGCAATTTAGATATTCCCCACTGATCCAGATGCAAGATCCATTAAACTCCTTATGTGCCAGACACTGTGGAAGGATCGCTTACAGACATTATTTCAGTTAATTCTCACAATCTAGGGCTATCGCCTCACCTGTAGGTAAGAAATCTGAAGTGAGGAATTAGTGAATTGTACAGCTAGAACTGGAGGCCGAGCTTGGCATCCCGTGCTCAGTACACTCTTCCTTTTACATATATGGTGCTCCAGCTAAATCCCTGCTCACTGGGGAATACCCGAGTGTGCAGGAACAACTTTCACAGAAACTGAAGGGCAGAAGGAAAGAGGGAGAACAAGAGAAAGAGGCTAGGATGCTAAGTGTAAGCCAAATACTTCCCCACAACTTCCAGGCCAGCTCCTGGCCACTGATGCGTTTTCCAGAACACATGTCTAACCCTGAAAGTGTTGGTGAGGCAGCCCGTTGGGGGTCCCTCCTGTCTCCCTAAAGCTATCCCTATTCCTCAATAAATTTTCTACTCTACATTTGAAAAAAAAAATGAAAGTCTTGGTGAGTACCGTAAATTTTTTTATTCCCTTATTTACTATTTCATCTGTTTAAAATAAATGTGTAAGCACCCCTCATTGTAAGAACTAGAATATTACTAAAAACTGTAAATCCCTCATGTTTTCTTCCTGGTCACAAGTCCTTGCCTCTTAATTCTTCTTTATTATGATTGTTAGGTTAACTCTTTTCTATTTTTTTTTTCTCATTTGAACAACTGGTGCTTATGACTAACCAACATATTAAATTCTTTTAAATATTTCAATTACCTTGATTTTGCAATAGGGACACGACAAATCTCCTCTAGCAAATTTCCAGTAACCAGACGCAGATGCAATTGTTTAAAAAACAAATATATGGAAACAGAGGAGGATGATGGTTAGCAGAAAGTGTGGCAGGAGAAATGGGAGACCTACGTCATGTACGTCAAGAGTACAAGGTTGGAACGATGGAGGAGGAGGTCTAGAGACCTTTTACAGAGCAGGAGGACTATTCTGCTTACATGAGTTAATAAGACTGAAGAGTAGAAATCTTTTATTTTGCTAACTTGGAAAAAGTTTATGTGAGTGTAACTATCAACAGCATTGCATGTGTTGAAGCATCCTGAGGTTTGTAAGAGTATCTCTACCTGCCAAAGCACTTCACACCCCCTGTCCTGCTCTGGCCGCCCCACACCTGTTCTTTCCTTTCTGTACGACTATCTCAGTGCCTCCGTGTGTGCATTTACCTGGGCCCATCTTTCTCCCTTACTTCCTAATCCCACCATGGTATTTGTCCCTCCTTCTTTCTGTGCAGCCATTCCACTCACGTACTCCACTCCCAGCTCCTGATCCTCTGTTTCATGGAGACCCCCGGAGAAGTCTGTGACTGCTATTAATCTCATAGGGACAGGCCCTGAAACTTCAGTGAATAAAATCCTCCATCTCATTATATAGGTTAATAAGCTCCTAGAGCATGTTCAGAGCCTATGAAATATTAATGATGTGACCCAGAAGTTGTAGGCTGGGGTATCTTAGAGCTGGGGGTATCTTAGAGCATTGGAGCCTTCCTTGGGTTCAACATCAATCAGAAATTAAAACAAAGACTTTTTCAATGCATAATAAAAGTCAGTGGAAGAATATTTTATATCTCAATATCTAATGTGGACAGGAAACAAATTCTGGGCAGAGCATTCATTGTTACTAAAAGGAATGCATGTTTAAAACTGAATATATTTGGAAGCTACCTACTAGAAAATAAATAGCACCTTTATATTATATAGGCCAAAAAAAGAAATCATTCAGGAAATAAAGAAATAAATGATTAAATTAATATTCAGTGACAGCAATCCTTTATTTTCCACAAACTGATAAGTGGTGGGTGAGATAAACACCACTCAGCTTCCAGCTCTCCATTAGTGGGGAGAAGGGTCTTTCTGTGAGTTCAGCAATAAAGAAGAATCCCCCTCAAGATCCCAAAACAATAGAGAGGTTTGAAAAGGAAATCAAAGTTTTCCGACAGTCTTTGATTTTACGTGTTCCTCAAAGAGAAACATAGATTTAAATTTTGGACTTAGTGCCCAGCATTGACCTGTAATATTAAAAATGGCAGCCCTAGGGCTGGGGATTTAGCTCAGCGGCATAAGCACCTGCTTTGCAAGCAGGCGGTCGTGAATTCGATCCCCGGTACTGGTAAGAACGAAAAAGACAAAAAAAAAAAAAAAAAAAAATGGCAGCCCTGCATGAAAAGACCACTAAAAGGCTCATTTCCTTGCTTGTCAGGGTTTTTCCTTTATTCTTTTTTGGCTGCAATAAGGCACATTCTTGCTTTTCTTCTCCCGTTTTAGGAGGAATACCTGGCAGGTTCAAGGAAGACGGGATAGGGACTGAAGCTTCCAGCAAGTTCAACACCGTGCATTTGGTTTTCCAGCTGCAGTTATCACCTTGCCCTAACAAGACCTCTATGGCCAAGCATCCTACCTACTCAAAAATTCCCCAAAGTAATCTCATAAATAAGTTTTCTATCCAAAAGCCACTCACCATTTAATTAAAGTTCTTCTAACCTTTACTTTTTATATTTTAAAAAGCAAAACAATAAAAGGATAGAAATGAAACCATTTGAAAAAATAGTAGGAAATTAACAGTAGTTAATATACTGCATGTTGTTGTCTTAGAAGTAGTTGTTCAGGTTCCAAGATTTATGCATGAAAAAAACGATAAAATAAACAATGAGAGAATAAGTCAGTATCTCCCAAGATCCAGCCATGTTGAAACTTGGCGGGAGGAAGAAGAAAGCTGCAAGGCCTCCCTCCTGGTAAGCGGCGGTTCAAGTGAGCAGCGGGTGCCCCAGGATCACAGCCTACCTGCATGCGGGCTGAGAATCACACACCCTATCCCCCTCCCCTCCCATTTAGCAACCGGATGGTTTCGAGGTCAGCCAGAGTTGATAGCAACTAAGGCACATAAAGCAATTAAATGCTTGTATTGTTGGGTTGATTATGCTGACCTGGGGCCAGAGGTCTGAGCATATCTCTTGGGAGGATGACAGTATGTAATATAGCAAATATGGGGATTTCCTTTCATCTTCTCTGTGAAGGCAAGTATTGTTTTCACTGCTTTGCTTTGTTCTGATCAATTATCTTGCTCAATTCAATATTCTGTTTTGATAGGTTTTATCATGTTCTGTTTTTGGTTTGATTTTGCTATACCTGATTGAAAAGACAACGATTGTGAAGATAACAAGATATACTATGGTTCTTATTACTGTTATCCCAGAATCCTGCCCTAAAGTTCTGTACCGATTTCACTGCATTGTTTTGATTGGTTTTGTAATCTCTTGTTTTGTTGTGTTTACTACTTTCAAAATAAAAAAAAAAATCCCAAACAGTGAAAGCACAAACTGTTCTCTTCGATAAACAAAGATCAGTAATATCTATCTTTAATATATATATATATATATATATATATATGTATAATCTTTTCCCTTCATCCTTTTTTCCATTTTAGTAGCCAATGGGATTATCAGTCCCCCTTCTCTCACACCCAAAAGACCTCAATAGTCCACAGGCCATCAGGGACCCTTTCTACCACCCACCTGCAGTACCCTGGGAGAGCTAGTGGGAGACTCAGCAACCTCTCCCTCTACACAGAGGACCTTAGCAGGCCTCCTAACAGTGTAGTGAGCTCCCTACTCAAGTAGAGGATCTCAGTGGGTCAACAGGAGCTGCAGCAAACTCTCCTCCCACCTGTAGGACCTTGGCCAGCTAGCAAGAGTGTAGGTGAGTCCTTCCTCCATGCAGAACTCAGAATGGGCTGGCAAGATGGTCAACAGGCCTTCTTCCACCCAGAGGAAGCTGAAAGGGCCTACAAGACCCCCAGTGAACAGTAGGATCCTGACTGAGGCGCACACTACACACAGGTGGGTATGTAGGCTTGGAACAACCTGAAACCACAGAAACAACAGGAACTAAGGGCTGGCTTACATCAATGCTCCTAGACTAGCCAGCCTAGGAAGACTATAGGACTCACCCAACAGACCCTGCAGGAGGAACTCAAGTGACTGGCCCCAGCCCTACACTGAGGGATCCAGCAATAGAGCAAACGTCAGCACACAGTAGGACCATAAGACATACAGGATGGACAGTTGAGACTAGCAGAATTGAAAAGACCAAAATATTAACCCAAGAGATGAAAATGAAATTTACATTTTAGAGCAATAGTTTGGGGACTATACAGACTCTTTGTACATTGAGACTATCCATCATTGTCACATATCAAGAATAAATTCTTCTTATGCAGATTTGGAAAAATGAATGATTGAGTTAAGATACTGACAGTTTCAGTAAAGCAAGAAAAGAAAGTTCAAGCAGTTGTCCAACCATCAATGTCCAGCTATTCCTTATGATCAAGTTTGGGTTCTGGATTCCTTACGCAGAGCATCATGATACTATCACTATAAATGATGTTAATGAGGGCAACTGTAGCGGATAAACTGACTATACAATTATTCTAAATTTTCTTTACATTCACTGACTTTCCCAGCTTACCTTCAGCTACAGTCATGTGACACTGCCCTAGATTAAGGAAAATTTTGATGGCCAAAAGACTGTCTTTCCCAGTAAAAGAAATCAATTAACCTTCACCCTGCTCTTTGACCCTGACTTGAATACAGATTCTCTGTCCAGAGACTTAACAATCATTGAGAACTCATGAGGAAATCTCAAGGCAGCAGCAAAGACCCTATATCTGGCATCTTTATGCTACAAAATAAAAACCAACAGCTTCTACTTTCCAAGGATTTGATTAGGTCATAATAAAAAGACTTTATCTGAACTACCACATGATGGGCTGTTACTTGAGCCAAACACATTGCCCAGTGATACAGTACCCTGGCCAATACTTAGCAAGAACACTTTTAACCAGCAGGGGACAGGGAAAACACAGGAGACGAACCTTCATTTACCATTTTAATAGCAGTTGGTTACTTCTTGAATGTTAGGATGATACACCCCATTGCATAAAAGAGAATCCAGCGGGGTGACTTACAGCACTTAACCTCTTTTTGTATGACACTGAACCCCTCTTCTCAAGTCTCCTTTGAGCTCCTAATATTAATAGCACTGGCACCCCTGAACTGTTGATTTCAGGTTGCAGGTCCTTTCCAATGGTTCTCTGTTGGACCCGTGGACAAGTCAGGGCAAAATCAATCATGCAGAACTCTGCAAAACACAAGAAGACTGTAGAAAAGCTCCTCTTGGAAAAGGACTCTGTAAAGTCCCAACTATTAAATTTGTTTTTTCTTTTCTTTTTATCGGCACCAGGGGTCGAACTCACAACTGCATGCTTGCAAGGCAGGCGCTTATGCCGCTGAGCTAAATCCTCATCCCCTGTTTCTTTTATTTTTTAAAGTAAGCAGTCTAATATTATCCACAGTTGCAATTCATATGAGTCCCTTCTTCCGTGGTCTCTACAGTGGTTAGAACTCTTTAGTTGGAAGTGGTAGAGGTTCTTCTCTGACAGCTAAAACACACAAGGGAGATAATTCAGTTCACATAAATCACGCATGATAAAGGTGGGAATGGAGCTCACCTTGGGGTGGGCAAGGACCACGTGGTCATCCTGCTTTGCCTGGAGGCTTCAGTCTTGGTACAGCAGGCTGGTTCTCCTTGCAGCCCATGGGCCATCAGCTTCTTAGTTCAGACCCAGAGAAGGAACGGCATCTCTTGCTCTGCCTCAGCACAAGAGGAACCCGGGGGGAAAAGTCAGTAGGCATTTTCTGAGGTTATGAAGTCCAGCTTTTATACATATAAAAAAACTGTTTGTAGCTACTTGCTTTCTAAGATAAATATTCAATACCCTGAAGTAATGAATTTTTTTCTTTAAGCTTTTAAGTTCAAACTACAAATCTTATTATTCTATCTATAAATCTAATAAATTTTTAAGAGGCACTTTACAATTTTGGCAATTAAATTCCCTTAAACAGTCTAAACCACATTTATAAATGTAATATATATGATTTTCTTTTTAAGTACTTCAAATACTTGACTAACAAGCAAAACTTTCTCAGTACCTAAGCAGTTCTTATAAATCTAATGAATTAAACTTTTAAGTATCGTGACCTTTAAGTTCCCTTAAATCTTTCAATGCTGTTTACAAACTTAGCCAACTTCTCTTGGAACTTTCAACTCAAAAGCTTTCATTTGAAATCTACCACTTAATTAGAGATTTAAACTGGAATCACATGGCTAATTACAAAGCTGACTGGGCCATAATCTCGTAAACATTAAAAACACTTTACAAACATTGCAAACACGTCAATTGCCAGACTTAGTGGGATTGTCTTAAATTCAATACAAAAATGTTAAAACTGTGGGTTTTCCTTACCTCATCCTCTCTGTGGTTGAAACGTTTCAAGGTTGGAAAATATCTGAGAAGGGCACACTTCTAAAACTCCCAGAACACAGAACCTACCTTCTCACTGGTTGGTGTTTCTCATTAGCCCTGGGTTAGACGTAGACACAGGGGCTGAGGAGTTCAAGAGCCTTGGTGTCACTGTTGATACTTTCCTTACAGATGTCCTACGTTCCTTTTAAACGATCTGCACTGGGGGCGGGCGGGGGGCAGTTTTCTCAGCCCATTTCCTACACGTGGGGTGCATGCAGCTGAACTGAGCTCTTGAATCAAGGCATAAACACTTAGCTAATTAGCTCCTAATTTCTTTGAGGGAATTGCAACCAACTCGTGTCCATGAATTCAGTTACCTTCCATTTAGATTGCCCTACAATGAGCCCCAAGTGCTGGAGTCAACCATCAACATGCTGGGCCAGGTGAGTTAAACATCTGGTCAAGCATGAGCCCCTCCTATTCCAGATGGCACAAGGAGAGCAACGGAAGAAGAGTGAAACAGCTGGAGAACAAGAAGCTGCTTGCATGGTCCCCCCTTCAGCCAGCCTAGTGCTCCTTCCTGATGAGCCTTCTAATCCCAGTCAGTGTCACTTCCTCAAGATGTTCATCTGGCAGAACACGCTCCTCGATCGTGACCAGGGTCTTTGCATGGCTCACTCTCATGATGTCACTCCAGGACCCTTTCAGTACCCAGTCATTTGGATACCTCTGATGGATAAAATGTGATGGATGATTTAGGGTGCTGTAAACATGCTGTGTGCTTTTACAGGTTTCCTTCTTTATGCACACCGGCAGGTCCTTTTCTCACTTGGGTGCTCACCAAGATCACATTCATATGTCAACAATACACTCTAGAATATCCTCTCTCAATACTGTTTTGGCTGTATCCTCTTCTGGGGCCCCACGGCACCTCTGTGAGTCTTTTTAGCACATACTACAAAGCTTGGTAATTATTTGTCATCATTTTTACTTACTATTAGATCATAATTTCCTTGAAGGCAAGACTGTTTCTTTGAAGGCAAGACTCTCCATCATTGGTCGCTGGAAATGATGTAAGCACTGAACTCTAGTACAGTTAATACTGTTCTCTAAATCTGCAGTGGAAACTAATGATTGTGTGTGTGTGTGTGTGTGTGTGTGTGTGTGCCCACATGTGCACATATAGGGATATATGTGTATATGAGAAAGAGAAAATGAAAAAGAGGATGAATTTAGGAACCATAGTGAAGTCAGTTAATGATCTCAGAACCAGAAGAAATACTAAAACCATTAAAGTCACAGGCAAATCTGGGGCACGAAATCTTCAAGGTCTTCTGTGTTCTTTCTAAACCATAAAAATGGCAATACTTAAAAAATGCTTAGGATTATTGACCATATGTTAGGTAGCTTAGTAACTATATTCTTTTTCAAAATCCTATGACACACCCAAGGGAAGGTTACATAGTTTCCCAGTGCCTCCACACACACACAGCTCACCTCCTGGAAATATTACTCTATCATGAAATGGGACCCGGTAAGAACAAACAAAGTCATGAAGATGACAAAGTAGAAAGAAAGAACAGAGAGAAATCTAGGAGAAGAGCTTTCCAAAGGCTGAGGACTCTCCATTCATAGACAGATGGCACCTTTGCACAGGAATATTTTTTAATATTATTTAGCGCTTGTTGTGTCTGAGTGAATACAATCCATTTCATTGCTTAATGAACCCGGGCCACATCTTAATGTTTGACCAAATCCACAATTAATGGCCCTATAGGGCAGTCGTCCTCTAAAGAATTTGCTGCAACATAATTAGCAACCATCCCCACTGATTAGGATTTATGTTGTTTTAAACTGAATTCACTAGTTTGACTAGACTACCATGGCATCCACAAAAGCTCAGCTTCATCCTGTGGTACCTTTGGCTAGCTAGCTATCAGGACCTCCAGTTTTTCATCACTTTAGCAAACATTTCTCCATCTCTTCTCCTAGGGCCAGGCTAAGATGGTCAGAGGGTGAATGAATCCAAGGATTCTTGCATATTTTGTTATTTGGGTCACTTTTGTACTCTCTGCCGAACCCAAAGTCACTCCAACTGATGACTCTTTCAATATTCAGTCTAAGCTAGACACAACTGCTAGCAAGTAACCCAGGATCCGTGAGGTTGCTTTTGAATGGACTTTTGGCAGTAGGAGCTCTCTGGGATGGGTTTCAGGATTTGGACATTTATTGGTACTGAGAACAGATATATGAGGTGGGAACTAAGGTTATAGAAAATAGACAGAGACCAAGGAACAGTACTTTCCTGTTTTAATCATGTGCTGACACATGTCTCTATGGTCTCTTTAGTTTGAAAAGCAAAACCATTTCCCTCATTACAAATGCAGGTTGGAAATGGTTCCGTGTGTTCTTAAAGTGACAAATGCCAAGTTGTGAGTGTACGCATGTATATGTGTCATGCTGTGTTTGAAGGGGACCATGAAGCTTTCTGTAATTAATGAACGCTCAAAATCATGCTAAAATATTTACAATGTCCCTCCCTTCTTGATGCTGGGAAGACTTTTCTGTGTATGAGTTGTGGGTCCATTTGTAATTCCATGCTGCTTTTAAAATTTATCCCTTAGTCTGCTCATCTGTGAAATAGAGATTGGGGCATACCATCTTTATTCTTTCACATAGCTTTACAATTTCAGAATTCGAGATAAGCAGCAAATCCTTGCTGATGCAGTATAAATATCTCCCATTTGTATTAATTCAATACCCAGCAAACAATGTATTTAGTATTGACACTCTCCAGCAGAAGAAATACAGGATGTATCATCTCCTTTATGGGTTGCTGATTTGTTTCTCTGGCTGGGATCTAACACCAAATCAACTGGCCTTGAATGTTACTGATCAAGCATAAGGTTCCTCTTTTGCTAAAGACAGAGCTAAAGTTATGGACCAATGGCCTCAATCTGTCTCCAAATTTGAGCAACTGTGTGTGCTCATTCACTTAGGGCCACACAAGCTGTTTATTGGAAAGTGCACTCTTGAATCTCTTCTCAAGGCTTCCCCTGAAATGGGCTGTGTGTTTCTAAAATTCAGTCCTTTCCTTTAGTCCTGTGACTAACTCAATTTTAAAGTTGACCCTTTGATCTTTGAAGACCTTTAACAAAACCAATAATGGGTTATAAAATGGTTGCATAATGCACTGGCCTCTTCATGGTCATCGTGACGCGATTACTTTGTCTTATTAGGGAAACAACTTTGAGTCCTACTGAGTCTGATTTAAGGAACAGAACCTAAGTGCACGACCTTCTTCTGGAGCATGGGGCACCGCCTGCATCAGTTTGGCAAGCTCTGCGCTCCGGACTTCTGCGTTATACGCTTCTTACAGCTCTGACACGTCCTCAATATATCTTGTCATTCTTGGCTAATAAAATTGGTTTTATGCCAAGTCAACCATTCTCTCAAATCCTGGGTGTCCTATCTCATCACGTCTTTCTTTTATCATGGAATAAAGTGCAGCGATGTTTGACCAATATCATGTGTTTCTTTGTTCTATCCTCCAAATAGAAACCTCTCCCAACATAACACCAGGTATTTTTTTAAACTATGACTTTATTCCTTCTCACTTTTCTATGGCTGAGATTTATTCTAAGATTTTTCAAGATGTGTGGCTCTTTGTTCTCTTGAATACAGTCACTGACAAACAAAAGAATTCTTATTCTCTATAAGCCCATCAATATGCTTAGCAAACTCTTCCTCAACTGGGGCATCCTGCTTCCCATTAGAAACATTTCAGTTTGCATTACAGAGCTATATGATCGGGCTTTCACTCTGTTTCTCCTATAACCCCGGGAGCTGTGAAATCTGTACCATTTAGTCCCTTTTGCCATATTGTCCACTGCATTTTAAAATTAAGTCATGTAAGGTTAAATGTGCTGTCTCGTATACCTATACAAGCACATGCATATGAATGTATATATGTGTACGTCAACCCTAAGCATATAGTTTACATTTGCTTTTGGTGAACATAGTACATACTTACTTGTTCTTTTCGTTTTGTGCTCAGTCCCTCATACTGTATTCCTCCCGCCCCTGCTCTCAGCAAATTCCTTTCTTCACACAATGTCCATGTGCTTCATTTGAACTACACACTACACACATAACATCCTTCTGTGTTTTTCCACTTGTACCTCATGGCATGAAGCGATGAAAATGCATTGAAAATAAGATGAAAGTAGCATCAGCCAGGGTCTCAGAAGAAAATGTGGTACTTCCAACCAAAATCATGTGAACTTAATCATGGGATTATAAAAGGACAAAGAGTGCATCAAAAAACAGAAGAGCTAAAGTTACATCTCAGGTTAAAGGAAGGGGAAAAGGAGGTGGAGAAGAACCTGAGGGAAAGCCTTGCAGAAGGAGCTACCTTGAGAGAAACCCTGGGGTTCTGAGACTCCGGGCTTTCTGCCTCCTGCTCCCTCTTCTCTCCCATTGGCTGCCTGAGCCTGGGAAGAGTCCAGAGGCTCAGGGCTCCTGCTGAAGTTCTTCCTCCAGGTCAGCGACTTGTAGTGGAGTAGAAAGAGAGGAAAATGGATCTTCAGAGAGGATCGAAGATATCAGCTTTGGACTTTTGAATAATATTGTTATTTATTGTGTAAAAATGATATATCTTTCATATTTTGCTACATCTGCTATTCTTCATAATGCTTGGTGATATAATTCCAAGTGACCTGTCATTCATTGTTTAATGACTGCGTAAAACTCATAGTGTGAAAAGCTTAAAATTTCATTGATTTATTTTGTAATAAACAGTGATACAATATGTGTGCAATAAGGTATATATGTGTTTGTGTATGTAATTTGTAATATGTAATTTGTAATATGTTATTTATAAGTATGTAATTTGTAATATGTTATTTATAATATGTAATTTAGTATGTAATTTATAATATTTATAATATTATAAATATTACATATTTATAATATGTAATATAGTATGTAATTTGTAATATGTTATTTATAAGTGTAAACTGGTTCTTTTAAATGCAAATTTTTAATTCTAAATAGTTTTTTTCAAATTGCTGGTCACAGGCTCTAACTTTTCATATTAAGAAATCGTATGAGCACCCTTTCCCCCTTGCACTCTAGAACTTGTACAGTCTAAAGGTACAGCGATGTTTTAGTAGGTAAACTAATATATGTGTTCCT